CTCCTGCACCACACTCCATCACACAAAGCTCACAGCAGCCTGTCCCATGCAGATCCTCCACCCTTTCTGCTCCTCTCCCTGCCTGTTTCCCTGCTCTCCAGCAGGAGGCTGCTGCTGAACATGGACCCCAAAATGGGCTCAGAGCAGAGGTGCTCTGGCCTCCCCTGACATGAGCTCCAGCCTGAAGCCCCAGGAGCAGGAGAGCAAGGGGCTGCAATGCCTGTCCACCAGCATGGGCAACCTCCTCCAGGACAAGCACTACGGCGGCTGGGCGTGTCTGCAATACCAAGTTTTGTCCCTACACACAGCAAGCAGAACATCTCTTTGTTCACAGTGCCTAAAGTTACTTCTGACCATTCTCTCCCTGCCATGAAATTCTTTCTGGCTTGTTTTCCTCACAGGGCTTTAGGTGCTCTACACCTTTTACTGTGCACTCATCTTTTAATCCTTTTCATGCTTCATCCACCAGCATCTTCCAATTGCTTTACTGCTCAGCAACAAAGCACTCTCTGCCCTCCTAATACTGATTTCTCAGCTCTGCTCAGCTCCCATCACACCTTGCTCTCCCAGAGCTTTCCCAGGGGATATGAACACAGGATATTCTCATTTGTGACAGATGAGCAGCTGGCATTCCAGCCAGCCTTAGGGAGACCTGGGATTACTCACAAATCAAACAGGGTGTCCAGCAATGCTCTTCAGTAAGGACAGCAATAGCAGCAGGTAAATGAAATGACTTGGTGCTATTGCGCATCTCAAACATTTCTTCAGAAACATCTCCAGGAGACTCTGGAATAGCTTCTGTCTCACAAGATTGGTGCAGAGGCATTTGGAGTGGACTGAGGCAAGGAATTTCCCCAACAGACTGTTCCTCCTGCTTTGGTGCTCCTGGCACATTCCACATTCACAGCTGCTGCCATTTGTCACTGCCATGTCCCAGCAGGTAGATGTAGGAAGGCAGTGTGCTGTCCTGGCCTTTTTTCCACATGAGATCAGGCAGTACATGCCCCACCATCAGACTCCGCTCTTATTGTTGTGTAGCAGTAGTAGTAGTAGTAGCAGTATTAATGGCAAGTAGACAAGTCAGAAATTTTCACTCATAAATAAAGCGTACTGTCACTCTACCTCAAATTTTTCTTTACCAACAACCAAGGCAGAAATATTCTCTTCAGAGGACAAATAAGTCTGATTTCAAATTAAAGTGATTTCAAGGTGCTTTCAAGATTCAGCACATACATCAAGCCTTGAAAACAAAAATTCTGCTTTCAGCTCAGTATTTATCCAAAGAGTGGAACTGCATTAACTAATAGAAGTATAATATTTCATCTTACAACTTTATATTACCTTTTACTAAAATCCTATTAAGGCTTCATATATGGACTTTTTTAATATACCTGACTTAAAATCTGAACAATTTAACTGAAGCGAATTGAGGTGATTTCTATTGAGCAATTATTCATTCCATAGCTGATAATGTTTTATTTCTCAGGGAAAAAAGCAGAGCATGATAGCTGTACTTAATACTTGTACATGGCTGTTCAAGTCTCTCTTGTTTGCAGAAAATTTGAGTAATAGAATTTAAAACAGGCCCTTGTATTATTTTTTTTTTTACATGATGATTAGTATCTTACTCACTGCATTTCATCTTTGGGCCCAAGAAGTGCTGTGGTCAGAGAAAGGCCCTAATCTGTGGAATTATTCTGTTGCAGACTCCATGTTTCCATACAGGAAAAAAAAAATAGTGTGTTCCACTCCAGCATTTGGGCTCACAGCATAGGAAAGATATTGTGTAGTTATGGTTTGAGACAGTGATTTACAGGATTGGCATATTCATTTTTTTTCCATGTGCATTTAAAGACTAAAGCCAGAACTGAGTTTGGCAGGAGCACCTATTCTGAGGGCAAATTATGAAATTTATTTTTCAGAAAGTAAAACTCATCATCTGTGAACAATGTATGTTTCAGGTGAAAAAGCAAATAACCTGCAGAGTTATTTTATCTTAGTACAAATTCAATAAAAATGACCTCAGTTTAGGACTTTGTAAAATAAATGTTAACACGTACCACCAAGAAGCCTATCAAATAAAACTACATCTCTCTTTTTTGTTCTTCTGAGGCAAAAATAAAAAGAACAGTACAGTAGATTTTTTTCTGGATTTTAGCAGCAACTTACATACTGATATGTAAGCAACTTACATAATGTCCAAAGTAATTCTGCTTCCCATACAGAATATTGATATTGATTTTTACTTTTGAATATCGATGCACAATCTTGTTTCTGCAAACACAGATATTATCTAGGCTTATGAAATTAACACATTGCTAATTCCAAAAATTCCAGTTTCTTGCTTTGAAACCAAAACATTTCACCATGGATGGAGCACATATCGTGCAGCAGCAGGCTGTGGTTCTGGGATGTAAAGCCACAGACCATTCATGTAATTAAGTTCTGTGAGGTGCATCCACCAACCTTACCTGGGTTCTGGTGCCCAGTAAGCTAATAATTAGCTTTGCTATCTGGCTTTTTGTTTATTTTGGTTATTAACCCTTGACTGTTTAATGGCAGAAGAGCCTTAGGGCAGCATTTTCCAAACAGGATAATACTCTCAACCCACAGTAAATATTTTAGAAGTCTGTTAGTAGCTCATATATTCCTTTCCTCCCATTTTGCTTTGAACCTTCATCTCCAGAATACGTCTCAAAATAATGAATACATGCACACAACTGTTTTTCAGCAAAGGAAGGAAGCCTGCATATTTTAGTTGGCAATTTTAGCTATCCACACAGGGATTTGAAATGGGCAGATATTCACAAAGCCTGTGTTAAGTGGGAAATTTGTTCCTAGGTAATTTCATGGAGCATCCATCTTTTGTGCCCTGCTATGGCACGAGTGCATCCAAGGCACTCTGAGCCCCCAGATGCAAGACCCGCATCAAGCAGTCATTATCTGTGCCCACCCTCTGCCCCCCTCTGAAAGGTAAGGTTAAATTTTAGGATCACCTAGGATAACCTCAGGCTAGGCAAAATGCATTATATAGCAGTTGCAAAGTCCACATCAGCTGTGCTATAACATTATCTAGATGTGTAACATCTCAATAATTATTATGCGGGAAGAAAAAACCTAGCTTGAGCTAAAAGGGAAAGTGTTGCAAACAGTGTGAAACACCTCAGAAATCCTTTCTTCAATATTAATGAGCATATATTTTTTCTACAGCTTTACATCTGCAGCTTCTCAATTCCTAATATGATAGGAAAAAATAAATCCTAACATCTGTTTGGAATGCACAGCTGAAAGAGTCAGCTCCAAAAACACTTTTAGAGTAACTGGTCTGTTTGGCAACAAACACCAAGATTTGGAACATTATTTCACTCCTCATCTCCACGTAAAGAAAGGGAAGAATATAAAGTATGTTTAAGGAAAGAAATAATCCAATTTTAAACATTAATATAATTTTATATGGTGAGCAAAGTAAAAAAATGGGTTAAGGACAGTATTTTTCAATGCTCAAGAATATGAAAGGGAGGTGAGGGAGAGGAAGTTGGAGGAAATCTAAGTTCATCATGTTCATGAAAGCACCAAAACAGCTGTGCAGCGCTGTCACTCTATGGAAACATTTTTGTGCATGGAAGAAAATTCCTTCAGTCAGGTCTGAAGTCTGTGAAAGGTTGTGGAAAGCTCTTGCAAGAAGCAGAACATACAGCACTAACTCAGTAAAAGCTCAACATAATTGTACTTCAGTAGGGAATTCCCTTCACCAAGCACATTCTGGGTATCTTCCTCACATGCTGCTAACACATATTTTCTGATAGCTGGGGTTAGGTCCCACAACCATTCCTTCGTGTCAGAGGTTCTTGGGGTGCTTACTGTAGAGAAAATTGGTTGCATCACTACTAAGATTGCCTGACTTTTAAACTTGACAAATAACCCTTTGCAAAGACTGAAAGCTTTTATGTCAGCTACATATTTCAGGGCAGAGGTGAAAGGATTTAAAATTACAGGTGAAATATTCTTTAGATATATTAATATTGCTTAAGAAGGAGAATCTTTGCCTGAGGAATACCTTCCCCTGTTTCAGGAGCGCATTGTGGAAGAACTCTGGCACCACCAAACTTTGGCAAAGGATGTATTTGGTGTATGGTACTCTGTAAATATGTCCTTACTGATCAGTGAGAACTCCTGAACTAGGAGTCCACTCAGATATATCCAAATTAAAGGCTTTGGGGTAAAGGGTCAAAATTACAGTGGGTACATAGAGAGTTCCATACTTTAAAGCTTTGATGCTATGTTTATATCAAACAGCACAGGTCACTGACAAAGCAAGATAATTAATGCCCAGAGCTTGGGCTCTTTTCCTTCTGAGTGTCTCTAGACCTGTCTAATGGACTAAACTCCCATTAGAGATCAAAGCACATATTCTGATTTAGTCTCTTCTGAGAGGAATACAGACCATATGCTCGACAGCTCTCCTATGATGAGAATGAAAACATAGTAAAAGGACAAACCACTTTGAAGGCACAATCCTCATCCTAATTAAAACATTAATGGAGAAGCACTTTAGGTATGCTTTAATCTAGAGCCTGAACAAATAGAGGTTATTCTCTGTGCCTGTCTGGAGCAGTCCATCACCAGGCATTCTCAATAAAAGCAAGAATATTTTCCTGACACTTTTCTTTGTTCTTCATGTCCTGAGAAAGACTGTCAAGGTGACTGTTATTTAAGCCATGTTACAGAGTTGATAGAATTCTTCCATTCTAAGGGAAAAAAATTATTTGATAGATTCTTGAATTAATAAAACTGACATATATTCAAATCATTTCAACTTTTTTTTTCAGAATTCACAACAGGATTTTTGCAGAATTATGGTTTCAAGCAGAAGACAATAGAATGTGTGTTTTCTTACACACCAGGAGATTTAATAGCTGCTTTTTTTGCTTTGTGTGTGTGTGTGGCTGAAGGATAGTGAAAGATCACTGCTCACAACAAATGACAAGAAACTCTGAAAGTTACTTCTTGATGCATTTAATTTCTTTTGTGCTGTTCTAAGAGCTAGGGTATTATCAAGTGTGAGGAACACATTGTAACAGGACCAAAAGCACTCCAGTTGGATCAGGTAAAAACAGGTTACAAAATATTAGGAAAAGAAATACTGAAAAATACAAATGATATCATCCAGTCAAGGTATCAGCTGCAAATCCAAATTCTGAAACCTTTGAAAATCAGTCCCAGGAAAAGTTCACCACTGCCCTTTCAAAAGAAGGATATTCCAGTTCTAGGAGACTAAGCATGCCAACCCTCTACTTGACCTTTGCTGCCTGAAAGGTAAATTGCATCCTCGGTGCACACACAGAGTTGACCTGGGGAACATTGCTCTTTCAGGACTTGTCATTAGGAGGTTTCTTCTTGGCTTCCACATCCTTCTTAAAATCTTCCAGCTTCTTTGCAATGTTAGGAATCTTTAAAGACAAAACAAAACAATCAAACCCCATGCAACAAAAAATCCAGGGCTACGTAAGTTTCATCAGGAAAGACAATACCATACACACAGCAAGAAATTCTACAAAGTTTAAACTGGTTTTTAAAAGGTATTTCCAGTATCTGTTACCTTGCACAGAGATTAAATCTAAGCAGTATCAGGCAAACAGCAGATGAGAGCACCTCACATGAAGCTTCAGGAAATACTTCAGTTATTAAGGCTATAAGTCAGCCAGTGGTGATGGGAACAGGAGGAAGGAAAAAAGATTACTTTACAGGAAATTTAGCATGACCAGTCTGGCTTCCTGACTGAAAGAAGACAAACTGCCAAGAATAAGCAGATTTAAACACTGATGCACAGGCTTTTGAAGGGGAAATTAGATTGCACTATACTGGTCATAACCCAGGAGAAAAGAGATGCTCAAGAGCATTAAATATGTTCTCAAGAAATTTATTAAGAAATATTTCTCCTAGTTCATCTTGTGGGAAACAAAATTCTTCACTGGGGAATTCTACTGCATTGCAAATTGGCACACTTTTGCAGTTTCACACTTGAATGAAAATTCAATTTACTGTTTGTGAGCTTCAAACCTTCAGCTTTCTCTAACAAATAAAATAATTTTGATAAAATAATCCAGCAGTAAATTTTGATAACTTGAAAAAGAAAAAAAGCTGAGGCTCTTAATAGCAAAGAAAAGGTTATGACTAGCTAAAACTGGGAACTGATAATGCATGATTTTACAAGTTGATTAAAACAAAATTAAAGCAAATTTTCCACTCTTAGCTGTTAAATATATATATATATAGTTATATATACATATATATATATATATCTCCTGGGTTTTTACTTCATATCTAACCTATATGTGACCAGAGCAGAAGTTAATCCAAACAGAATGCAGTTCTCTTATTGAATGGTCTGAGGTTCACAGAACTGGTAACGTAAGTTCCTCTTACCTTCCTTTTCAGAATTAAGCTCTGTTTGACCAAATGAAATTAAGAGCCCAGCCTGCAACACGCCTGACATTTAAACTACACCAAGAGAACTCCACCACTGTCAGCAGAACCCTCCATGTACTTATTACTGAGCACACTGTGTGTACAGCTGCAGAATTAGGACCTCATTATGACATATATGTCATATATGGCTTATATAAAATGTCATCTCAAACCAATCATCTTCAACACCAGCAATAAAATTTCCGTGTTCATCCTGCAAGGCAGTGCTGCACTTCCAGGGAATCACTTCCAGCAAATCAAAAGCCTGAGTCCCCCTCTTGTGGCAATTCTTTATCAGTGCTGCCAGAAAAGCACCATAGAATGCTTGTGATGCATTTGATACATTCAAATGTATTCTTGTGACTACATCTTTTTAACACCGTAAAACATACATTGCACAGAAACACCAGCCTTTCATTAGTCCTTTTTCTGGACTAACTGGAGTTACTGACAGGAAAAATCACCAAAATTTGTGCATGAACAAAGAGCAAAATGTAAGATTTGTTTTTTAAGCATGAAGACTTCAATACTGAAGATGAGAGGAAAGGAAAACAGAAATGTCACCAAAGCCTCAAAAACTTTGTTTGTTTGGTTTTTTTTTTATTAAGGCTAATATAGATTGCATAAGAATGTTAAAAAATTTAAGTTAAATGTTATTAACTCCTCTAGCCAGAAAGTGAAGCGGCACTGATGTTACAAGAGATCCTGTTGACTCTGCAGAAATTAAAAGCATGTTTTGAAGTCTCAGCTTGAAATCTTCTTCCTCTGCCCTCTCACACTGAAAACTCTGTTAACTGAGAGCTAAAAAAGAGAAAGTTCTCTTTCTTTTCTCACTGTGAGAAAAGAAGGAAAGAAAGATTGCAGGTCAATACACTTTTTGAAGTAGAAGAAAGTATTGAATTTTCAAAAAAAGCTGGCAAAACTTATTTTCATTACTGGTCTGGGAGACAGACATTTCTCATGCTCTGAGGACTTCTATTAGCAAAAAGTTATATTGAATGGAGAACACTGTAAGAAGACAGGCTATCCAAGACAGGAAACAGTATTTTAATGCTGGTAAAATCCATGAGGAATTGATAAACCTTTTGTGATCCTCCTGTCTTCCTGTAGATGTCTGGGCTCTAGGACTGAACAGAAATTTAAGCTTTGAGCAGTACACTGCCACAGAGAAGATGATGCTTTGCTTCCACCTTTTTTTTTTTTTTTTTTTTTTTTTGTTCCTATTAAGTTTGGAAAAGACCTACAAGATCACAGAATCCAATCTTTGACCAATCATCACTTTGTGAACTAGACCACAGCATTAAGTGCTATGTTCAGTCATTCCTTGAACACCTCAGGGGTGATGACCCCACCAATTCCCTGTGCAGCCTGTTCCAATGGCTGACCACTCTTCCAGTGAGGTAATTCTGCTGTGAAAGTCTGAGTTCTCCTGTCCTAAAGTCAGCATGATCTGCACTCTGTTTAAAATATATAAACCATCAAAATAAAGCTGATTCAATTCTATTTGAGGGAAAACAGCCATATATCTTCCGATCAGAACAGGTTTCCCTCTGACAATACCATAATACTTACCTCATAGTTCTGAGCCAGATACATCCCAACCACGTTGCCAAGAGTAAAACCAAGCTAAAAAGGAAGAAAGGGTGAAGAGTTAACATCCTTCCATCAAAAGTTTATTGGCTAAAATAAAGAAAAAGGGATATTGCAAGTTATTTAACGAGTTTCAACTCCACTCCTACTTAATTTCTCATCTTTCAAACAGAGAGGTGCAATTTTACCCATCTTCCTCACCAGAAACACCTTGCCATCATTTCCAAAATACCACACGGTTTTGTTATTCAATCCACATCCCCAAGACTATTTGAATCAAGCTATGTTAATCCTTGTAAGGTTCTCTACACACCCACAAAGGCAGTAACTCCTAGAAAAATGGTGGAGACAGCAGCAGGGACCAACATATCACAGAGCTCTTGGTCCATGCTGGGAATGCCTAAAGCAACACCCCACTAGAACCATGCTCAGTGCTGGAAAGGGACATACATGTTTTAGTATAAGTAAAAAGAACCAAACTTCACAACATGGACTTAAACTGATGTAAACCTGCTTCTTCTATTCTGCAGCAACAGCTGTGCATCTTCCAGACAAACCCTCCTGACCCCAAGAGATTAGTTCTCAGCCAAATCCACTCTGATCTAGGGGCTCCTCCAAGGTAGTACAGTTGGTTGTAAGCTGGGCACAACCTCTTCTGACAACTGTGCACTTACAGTTGATGAAGGGTGTCCATAAAAATGCACTCTGGAAGTAGAGCAAGAGCAAAACACAACCAGTTTCTGGCCCAGACCTTGTCTGCCAGCTGAGTAAAATCCTCAAGCATAATAACACTTCTGAAGTGAAAGAAATTTTTCTCTTAAAAGACAGATGATGAGATTTTCATTCATCATCTCCTCAGTATCTCATATTTTATTTTTGTTGTTACACTTCAAACTAAGTCTGCCTTTTACCATGAAAGCTCATTTAACTATTTTGAAATAGTTAATTATTTCAAGTTAATACTTGGAAATACTAACAATACTGACAATATTGAAATAGTCAATACTAACTATTTCAATTAACTACTAACTAATAATACTAATATTGTGCTTTCATTTGTTGTTAGTAGACAAATCACCCTTTGTAACAGTTGAGGCCAGCTCTATTTAAGAAAATTGTTATTGCTCATGGTCACTGCTGTGAAAATAAGACTATTTTAAGAAAAATAAAACCAGTGTCCACAAAACAATTTTGCCATCACTTACTGACCAGACATCTTTTCCAGGCCCAAAGCAGCACAGAGCACAATTCATCTTTTCTGTGATTCAGACTCCATAAGCAGCACTGCCGAAAATCTATCTACAGAAAACTAAAACTGGATGAGAGCTGTCATACTGACTTCAAGTTACTTCAGTATTATCTTAAACAGATTTTTGATCTTATTCCTTGTTTATAATCACATTTTTTAAGCTTAGCTTTAACAGTTTAAGAACAAGAAGAATTATTCTTGTGTGTACTGCCCTGGTTAGCATGTGCTCTTGTTGTTTCAATTACCCGATAAGCAGGTACTCTAGAAGATACTAACAAATAATGCACCGATGAAAAACAGACCTGTGATTCCTCTTAATTCAGAGCATCACTCTAGCAGAGGAAAATTTCCTGTACCTTTAATAGTTTCTGGGAAGCTGCCTGGAAACACAAACCAAATCCTTGTTTATTAGCAGTATTCTAGGCTTTTACCCTAGAACCTCTCCAACATAAGTCATATTCTGTTGTGTGGTAACCCCAAATCAGCAGAGATAGTACTGAGACCAGTATTCCCTTTAAATGTAGTCCTTTAGTGGAAAGTCCAGCACTGCATCCACCCAGTTACACTTATTTTTAGAGATGACAATTTGAGCAATGGGGAAAATTAAAGTCACTATTTAAGACTTCACTTATATGGAAATCAAAGCACATAGCCAATGAAAATGTGCATGTTGACTAAAAACAACAGGGCTGATGAGAGTTCAGGGTCTTCCAATTTCCACACAGCATTTCAAGATGCATTGAAAACAAATAGCTTATTTAATGCTTAACTCTGGACTGCAAAAACACAAGGTTTGTGAGATTATTCCTTTATCTCTCTGCTACAGCCCTAACCAGGCAGAGCAAGAGTCAAACTCCCAATTTACACCCAAGCAGGGAAAAACCACAGAATTAGTATATCTTTTGTCTAACTTTCACACACTAATGAGGCGTTGTAAATATAAAGTATTTTTATCTAGCAACAGCAATTGAAAATACAGCAGAAAACAGTGGAGCTGATAAACACAGAAACTCTGAGAAAGGCTAACCATATTTAGCCTTACTCAAGGTTTTCACTGGAGTGATGAGGGGATTATAAACAGCTTCAGAAATGACTGAGGGTTTCATACTTGTTCTTATGAAGCTGGGATGAGAGATAGGCCTCATTTATTTATTCTATAAAAATAGGCGATATTCTTCCAGCTTATAATAGGCCATCACTTCTTGCTCTGTATCAACACCCCCTATGAAACTCGTTAGCCAGCTGAATTATTTTGCCCCAACAAAAGATGAAGTCTAAAAATTCTGCTGTTCCTCGGGGCAGTAAAGACATGCGATCCCTTGCCTTAATTTCCGTATATCCACATCTCCAGCAGTATAAGGGTATACAACATGGCAAGGGCTCACGCCCCTGCTGCCACTGAAGGAGCGAGGTATTTATGCTTACACAAAGAAATTTGAGTAGCAAGGGCAGCATCGCCGTGAGCAAGCGGAATCTCCAGGGCAAATTAAGAGCACGACTTGGGAGGAAAAACAAGCCGCGGAACTCCATTTTCAGAGCATCTTTAAGGCAGCGTTCTGCGAGAACAAGGGGGACGGGGGGGGGAAGGAGCGGGAGAAGGGAAGCAGCTCGAGGGGGAAGCCGCCTAAGGATGGGGAGCTGCCGGGGAGCCAACACCGGGCTCAGCCGCCCCACTGTCAGGGGCCGGGGCACGGCCGAACATGGGGCCGAGGGGTGGCCGACACGGAACCAGGGAGTGGCCGAACATGGGGCCGGGGGGTGGCCGAACATGGGGCCGGGGAGTGGCCGAACACGGAACCGGGGGGTGGCCGGACGACGGCCGAACATGGGGCCGGGGGGTGTCGGACACCGCGCCCTTCCTCCCTCGGCCGG